TGTGCCAACACCGCCCAGCAAAGCACTACTTCTGATTAAGGATTGCTCACTGCAAGCTGTGTTTTACACAGATTAACCAGAGAAAGCAAGATTTCAATCTGTAAAGATGTCAAGGGTAGTAATATGCACTTACATCCCCAGCTACTCAGGAAGTCACAGTGAGTTCCAAGCTAGCCAGAGCCACACAGTGAGACCATGTCTCAAAAAAAAAAAAAAAAAAAAAAACTGAAGCTGTGAGCCACACCACCTGACAGGATATTTTTGTCATACTTTTTCCCTTTACTTTAAAAAATATGTCCAGTGGTTCCCAACCTGCCCAATGCTGTGACCTTTTAATCTAGTTCCTCATGTTGTGGTGACCCCCAATCATAAAATTATTTTTGTTGCTACTTCATAACTGCAATTTTGCCACTTATGAATTGTAATCTAAATGTGTAATATTCAGGATACAGATATCCCAAAGGGGCTGGGACCCACAGTTTGAGAACCCCTGTTTTAGTCCTTTAAATATATTCAAAAGATCATTTGAGCCCAGGAGTTGCATGTGTGTGGGGGGGAGAGGGGGGAGTAGAGAGAGAGAGATTCATTCTATAAGTGCTATTATTCTAGAGAACCCTGAATAATACAGATGGTAAGGCCCTATTACTGAAGACACTGTATATTTTGAATGCAGGGAATAGAAGCTGAAATACAAGGGTAGGGATGTACCTGTTATCCTAGTGCTAGGGAGGCAGAGACAGGGGCCCACTGACCCACCACTCTAGAAAATCAGCAAAAGACTCTGTTTCAAAAGCTGAGGGGGAACACAATCATGAAGGCATCTGGCCTCTGCACTGGTTGAGACACAAGTCCTGGGACTCCCTGTCTCTCCACCTCAGTACTGAGATTACAGGTGTGCTGGGCCCAGCTTTTTATGTGGGTACAGAGATTTGAACTCAGGCTCTCATGCCCATGTGACAAACATTTTACTGACTATGATATCTCAGCAGCTCCCAATATTTTTAAAGGATAAAATTATCATAATAGATACTAAAAAAGAGCATTGAAAACCTTCAAACTCCATTCACAATAAATATTCAACTAGGAACAGACGAGTCATATCAATGTGATAAGTGGCATACATGAAATCCCACAGAAATAAGAAAGGAACATTTCTTGCAACTCCCAGTCAATAAAACACAAGTTCTAACTAGTGAGATAATGCAAAGAAAACAAATGCAGAACATTCTGTTTTACTGGTGGCACACGTCTTTAATCCCAGCAGTCAGAAGGCAGAGGCAGGTGGCTCTGTGTGAGTTTGAGGACAGCCTGGTCTGCAGAGCAAGCTGCAGGTCATCCAGGACTAAACAGTGAGACTCTGTTTCAAAAATCCAATTAGAAATAAGAAAAAAAATCACATTTATTCCAGGCGAGTGCAATCCTCACTTTAAAAATTCTCAACAGTTAATTCAGAAAAAAATATCTATCTAATGAATGGATTTTAAAAGATCATGTTTAAAATTAAGTTTGTAGAAGCAGTGGATAGAAAATCATCAAGGATATACAGATAATGACAGCAAAGCACAACTGAGCATATTTACTGATTCTAAGATGTTGAAACCAGTGCACTCAGCATCAGAGTACACTTCCTCTTCAACTGTGCAAGAAGCACTGATCCAGGAAGCCCATATCCAAGGTTATTAAATAACCTTAAAAAAATAAAAGAATAGAAATCACACAAAGTATCTTTTCACACAACTGAATTAAAGTAGAATTAATAGAAATACAACATTAAATTTTGTAAATATTCATAAACAAAATTCTTCTAAATAATTCATATTTCAAAGAGTATACAGATGGAGTAGAAAGTGTTCTGACCTTTAAAAAAATGAAAATGCATCATTTTGCAAGTTGCATGGCTCTGCTAGGCATAGCTTAGAGGGGGAAAAAAGAGGAAAATTCATCTAAATCAGGCTAAAGAGGATAAGAAATAAGGTTAAGAAAAAATAAGTAAAATTTAAAAACAGAAGAACACTGTATAAAGTCAATTACAGGTAACATTAACTCTCTGAAAAGATTAAAAATATTAAAAATATTGATAAACCTGACAAGACTGACCAGCTAATCAAAATCCCAAATGAAAGGGAGCATATAACATCATTACAGAGCCTCAGAACATTATATGTGTAATTAGGGAGTACTTTGAATATATTTTGCACTTAAATTTGTAAATGAGGTGTAATGAACTCACTTCTCAAATACTATAAAACATTAAAACCCATTCATAACAAAATAAATAAATCGTTCTATAGCTTGTAGAAAACAACTCTTTACTTCCAAATGGATTCACTAAGGGTACTAAATATTTAAAGAGGATATGATCCCAATTTTCCTAGTCTCTATTAGAAACAAAAGAATTAATAATACTTCTCAGCAAAATATATGGGGCCAGCATTAATTTAAACATGCAAAGGCACTACAAAATAAAGAAAACTATATCAAAACCTCCCACAATTGCAAAGATAGAAATCTTGAAAACAAAACGACTTAGCTAATCACATACAGTAACAAATAAACATAGGAATATCACACAACCAGAGATTATTCTGTGAATATAAAGTTGTTTTAATATTCTCAAAGTAATCAATGCAATTCTCAACATTAGCAATGTAAATGAGTCAAGCCATAATCATATTAATTGGTGCATAAGAGATTAGAATTAATCAAACATTTATGGGGAAAAAAAAACTCCCAGCCATAGAAAACTAAATAAAAACCTCCTCCTCCTTTTCCTCCTCCTCCTCATCATGTCTCCTCACATCCTCATGCCCAATACACACCTGGATTTTAGCCCCAAGAGATGAGGAAACATGCCACATCAAATAATTTGCCCTTGACAATCTGAAGTTGGAAAACCTATTTGAATATTTGGCAGAACTTTCAAGATCCCCTTGGAAACTCAGTTCCAAGGAAGTCAAAATGAAGAGGTAAGGTTAAGTGAGAAATGTCCTGGTGTTTTACCCGCAAGATGGAGTGGAAGAAATCTTTGGGGCCTGTTGATGATATGGGGCCCACTAAGCAAAGAAAAGCACATAAATGCTGAAGATGATATGAAGGTATAAGGAGAAGTTAGGAAATTAAGCACAGTCCAATCTTTCTGGTCTTCTTTGCAGAAGATCTGGTTTCTTTTATTTTCCATTTATTTACTACAGAAAAAGAATGAATACAAGCCCAATCACTCCCTCACACACCAAGAATGTCGTCATTCTTCTTGATGACATAAACAATAGCTCCTTCCTAAGAGGACAGTTTGTCTTCCTTGTCTTTTGTCTAAATTGCTACAACTAGCAGTGGCAGGAAACAGAACAGGATGTGAACAAGAGTACTATCCCTAGAAAAACAAAACTAAATAATCACTCAAATGCAGCAACCTTCTAAACATAGACTAACATTTATATGTATATGTTTTCTGCTTTATGACCATCCCTATAAAATGAAATCTATTTTCCAGAAGCTGGGTTGTAAATCAAATATAAATGCCAAAAAAGAGAAGAAAAAAAGAAAAAAACACTGCCATCACATTTAGTTAAACTTACATTACATAGATTATGGGGAAAGTACATTAGTGTAAAGAAAAACACACTCTCGGAGTCATGAAGGTGCTTGAGGCACCATAATGTGTAAGAAATGTTAATGTTACCCTAGTGTTGTGAGAAGCAAGTGAAGGATGTGGCAGGCTAAAAGAATAGCAGATGCATGTCTCCTTTCTGCAGTCTACGTCTACTGGTTGAATGATGGTTAAATCCCCACATGTTAAATGCATGAATGAAAGATGATCTACTAGTTTTCACAAAGACCAGAGGTTTCTCTGGTAAACACCCATTTTAGAGACAAGGGTACTGAAAAATCACATAAGCTAAGCAAGAGTTGCTCAGTTCTTCAACATGAACTGTTGTTAGATAATAGACTGAGGAGTCTTGGCTTTCTTGGTCCCAGGGAACCTGGGGCATGCTGCTTGGAATACACATGAGTGGAGAAAGTACAGCTGCCCCTCCCCATCCTAGACCACCTCCCTCTTGGGCTCAATGTGTCAACAAGGCCAGCTAGTCCAGAAACTAATACTGACACTGATTTGGGCAAACAGGCCAATCAAGATCCCATAATTACTGGGAGTTTTAATCAACTCAAGCCAGTTCAGTTGCCATTCAATTTGTAATAGGCTCCAGTGCTGACAAGAGGGGAAGGGCTGTACTGCAGTCAGAATTAAAGGGATCAATAGTCATAGACAGTGCAACAGCAGCTGTAGGACCCCATGAGGGTCTCCTGGCTACAGGGTAGAAAAAACAGAATGTACCCCAACCCCTGGGATTATTCCAAACATAGAGCCGAACTCCCATCCCACACAGGCACCGCCAAACAGTTTCTGTTATCTACAAGATTCAAGCTCAGGGAATGTGTTCATGTTCATGTTGTCCTTGTCGCCCTAAACAAACCCACAAGCCATATATTACAACTTCTGTGGTACTGTTCTGTGTGTTTCTTCCTGACTTTTGAAATCAGATGCTCAGGAGACAAAAAGCAATGAAGCAGAGCACACATGCTGTGCTTCCTAGCTGTAATGCACTGAACAACTCATGACATCTCTTCTCTGTTGGATTGAAATTGGACTAGTTGACAAATAATGACCTTCTGAGATCATGGATAATATATAGAAACCATCATAGGTAACAAATACTATGTTCAGCCTCAAAAGAGAAAGAGAGTCTACTATATATGCATTCTTTCAAAACATAGATCTAGGCTGTGATGTGGTGGCTCAAGCCTTTAGTCCCAGCACTCGGGAGGCAGAGGCAAGCAGATGTCTGTGAGTTCAAGGCCAGCCTGGTCTACAAAGTGAGTTCCAGGACACCCTCCAAAGCTACAGAGAAACTCTGTCTCGGAAGAATAAATCAATCCTGAGGCTGGCAAAATGGCACAGTGGTTAAAGAAACTGAGCACCAAGACTGATTACCTGAGTTTCATTCCAAGACATGGTGGAAAGAGAGAACTAACACCCACAAGTTGTCCTCTGACCTCCACATGGGCTCCATGGTACCTGTGCCTTAAAAATAAATGAAAGAAATGCAATAATTAAAACTATATACTTCATTATGTCACCAATTTAGTATATTCACAATAATAGTGTAAAAGTGCTTAGAGAACCAAGACAGCCCCACAAGTTCTTCTTAAATCATTTGATATGGGTCTATAAACCATTAGCTCATTTAATTTCTCATTCCCAGCATTAAATTTACCTCCAGTTTGATTACATTGGGATATCTTATTATCACTTTCTAAAAACCACCCAACCTTTGTTGTCTTTATCACTTGTCCATTGCTGTGACAAAACTCTGTGACCAAGGCAACCTATAAAAAGAAGAGGGTTACAGGATAGCCAAAACAACTCTGTACAATAAAAGAACTTCAGGAGGCATCACCATTCCTGACTTTAAGCTCTACTACAGAGCTATAGTTCTGAAAACAGCCTGGTATTGGCACAAAAATAGACAGGTAGACCAATGGAATCAAATTGAAAACCCTGATATTAACCCACACACCTAAGAACACCTGATTTTCGACAAAACAGCTAAAATTATACAATGAGGCAAGGACAGCATCTTCAACAAATGGTGCTGGCACAATTGGATGAGGGTTTGTAGAAGATTGCAGATAGACCCATGTCTGTCGCCATGCACAAAACTCAAGTCCAAATGGATCAAAGACCTCAACATCAATCCAGCCACACTGAACCTCTTAGAAGAGAAAGTAGGAGGTACCCTTGAACAAATTGTTATAGGAGACCGCTTCCTGAACATAACTCCAGGAGCACAGACACTGAGAGAAACAGTTAATAAATGAGACCTCTTCAAACTTAGAAGCTTCTGTAAGGCAAAGGACACAGTGGATAAGACCAAACGGCAGCCCACAGACTGGGAAAAAGATTTTCACCAATCCCATATCCGAAAAAGGGCTAATCTCCAAAATATACAAAGAACTCAAGAAACTCGTCAACAAAACACCAAATAACCCTATTAAAAATGGGGTACAGAACTGAAGAAAGAATTCTCAATAGAGGAAATCAAAAAAGGCTAAAAGACACTTAAGAAAATGCTCCACATCCTTAGCTATCAGGGAAATGCAAATCAAAACAACTTTGAGATACCATCTTACTCCTGCCAGAATGGCTAAAATTAGAAATACCAATGATGACTCATGTTGGAGAGGATGTGGAGAAAGGGGAACACTCCTCCACTGCTGGTTGGAGTGCAAACTCATACAACCATTTTGGAGATCAATATGGCGGTTCCTCAGGAAAATGGGAATTAGTTTACCACAGGACCTGGCAATCCCCCTCTTAGGCATATACCCAAATGATCCACATCCATGCAACAAAGACATCTGTTCAACTATGTTCATAGCAGCATTATTTGTAATATCAAGAACCTGGAAGCAACCTAGATGCCCCTCAGCTGAAGAATGGATAAAAAAGATGTGGCACATCTACACAATGGAATACTACTCTGCAGAAAAAAATAATGGTATCTTGAAATTCGCAGGCAAGTGGATGGCACTTGAAGAAACCATCCTGAATGAGGTCACCCAGTCACAAAAAGAGGAACATGCTATGTACTCACTCATACATGGATTTCAGACATAGAACAAAGGATCACCAGCCTATAATTCACACCACCAGAGGAACTAGGATACAAGGTGTATTCTAAGAGATTCATATAAAGTGCCTCACAGAACCGGGAAGGGACAAGTCCCCCAGAGCTCAGGGGAAGTGTGGGGGGCAGCAAATGGAGAGTGGAGTAGGAGAAAATGAGGGGGAGGAAAGGAAAACACGTGTGACCATGAAGATTGAGCCCGGTTAGGAATAGAAGACAGAAGAGAGAGAGAGAGAGAGAGAGAGAGAGAGAGAGAGAGAGAGAGAGAGAGAGAGAACATAAAAGAGGGAGCCAATACTGGTATGAAGATAAAATTGAACACAGAGGAAAGGTCTAGAGAACTACAAGATTGTTGCCAACTAACAATTTGAGTTTCTGTGGAAAGGCTACCATAAATGCCCTTCCCGGATAGTGAGATCAACAACTAACTTATCCATGGAGCCCTCAACTAATGCCTGTTGGAAACAGGAGCAAACACCCATACATAAACACTGAGTCGAACTAGAACCCAGATGCAGATGAAGAGGACAAGACTAGGAGGCAGAAACACATAGAGATAGCTTACCTAAACAAGGAGGAGCTAATGGGCCACCAGACTGATGGCTGGGAAGCCAGCATGGGACTGACTCAGGCCCCCCTGTATATTGGTCTCAGCCAGAAGGACTGAGCAGTCTAAGGAACCTCAGACAGTGGAGCCAGGATGTATCCCTGGTGCACAAAAGGACCTTGCATACACATCCCCCATGGAGGGATAACTGCCTTAACCTAGAGACAGGAGAGAAACCATAGTCCCTACTTCAAATGACTTGACAGATATACATGACCCCACCTGGATGGCATTGCCCTACATATGGAATTGGTGTGGGTGGATGGGAGGGGAGTGTGGTTAGGGTGCATGTAAGAGGGCAGAGAGGGTAAAAGGGAGGGAAGGAAGGAGGGAGGGAGGGAGGGAGAGGGAACTGAGATCGACATGTAAAATAATAAATTAAATTTAAAAAATGCTTTGACTCCAAAATTTAAGTTCAAGGACAAGTTACTGGGGAAAAGGATTTCTATTTTTGTCTCCACAGAAAATGAAAAGATGTGGATTCCTTCCAGACTAATGTGGTTTGATCAAGCCAGACTGCCTGAAACAGAGTACCAGGTGATCCTACATTCAAAACAGCTGGACAAAGCAGCCTTGCAGACTACAGCCAGGATTTCTGAATCTTCTTCGAATCCCCCATGACAGCGTCCCTTACCAGCAGGAAGTAGTTTGGAAAGAACGACGCCCAAATTCCCAAATATTGTCTATAAATGTTTGTTTTCATTTAAATGGACTTGGTTATATGAAATAAATAAATAAATAAATAAATAAATAAATAAAACAATGGCTGTATGCAGAGAATAGCATTTCACAACTCATCACCGTGTCTTCGTGCTCTTATGTATTTATTCACCACCACCACCCTTCTGCAAAAAAAAAAAAAAAAAAAAAAATAGAGGGTTAGAGCCCATGATGGCAAAGCAAAAGCATGGTGGCAGGAACAACTGAGAACTCACATCTTGCTCCACAACCACAAAGCAAGGAGAAGGTACTTTGGATGGCAGGGATCTTTTTCCAACTTCAAAGTCCACCCCCAGTGTTGCACCAATTTCTAATCCTTCCCAAATAGTTTCACCAGCTAAGTACCCCGTATTCAAATGTATGAGCTTATGGGGTCCATTCTTATTTAAACCACCACATTTGTCTCAACTTGTATGGATTTTACCACCATTCAGTGAGTAGATGTAGACTCCAGAAAGGAGACATAGATCTGCTGTTCTTTTAGCCTGCCTCAATGCTCTATCCACTTGCATGTACTAAACATGTAAAATTCCTCCTGGAAGGTGGATGTCTTTGATTTTCCCAATGACTAACATTTGACCTTTCCAACCATAATAGCCTTCACTACATAGATCAAGGAACCAATGTGGGAATTCTGCCAAGTTCTAAGTCTATCTCTCCCAATTATACATTCTGAAACTGGGGAAATAACCACAGGATGAGTCCTGGGACCCACTGGACCTACTGTGAGTCAGACTTCAGCCAAATCTCCATCAATCCCCTGACCTCCATAAGCCCCGGCTTTAACTGGAGGGCCACAGTACTTCTTGGGATCTCCCGGAATCTTCATGAATTCTGAACCAGTATCCAACAGACCCCAGAAAATCTGATTGTTTCCTTTCCTCAGTGTACAGTTACCCTTATAAAGAGCTGTAGGTCCCTCTGGGAAAGGATGAGAGCAAGTATTTTATCAAGATCCTTTCTTTAGGGGACCTGGATGTCCCTTCATTCAAGGAGTTCATTATGGCATTATGGACACTGTGTTGTCTATGCTGCCCATCCTGATAGATATGATCACCTTGCTTTTCTCAATTCAATGCTGCCATCTGGCCCCTGCTACCTCAGGACCCAATAAAACCCACTGTATTTAATTCACTGAACTGAGCAGCAGCATCTCCAACCCCAAGGTCTGACATAAAGAAAAGAGCAACGACAAAACTCTTCAAATGTGCTGGTGCCCCTCTTACCATTTTGCATCTTATAAGATTAATGAAAGGTATGTCTTCTAGGCCATCTCATTGTGAACGTTAGGTTTCACACAGCATACCCACTCTAGCAGTTTCTCTAAGCCTTAAAATCCCTTCACCAACACTAAGCCAAGGGCTATCAGGTATGTCCAACTCCTTTTCAGTAGGCCATCTTTTGACAAATGTTTCAGCCAACCATTCAAACAAACTTTAGCCACTTTTTTTTTAACTGTGTAAGCTTCCATATTAGACCTATAATCTGTTGTGGGATATTTATACACTGTGTGAAGATGTATTGCTGTGGCTAGTGTAATGGAAAGCTGAACGGTCAATAGCTAGGCAGGAGGTATAAGCGGGATTTCCAGGGAAAGGAAGAGGAAGAGGAAACTAGGTGTGCAGGAGAATCTAGAACACAGAGAGAAAACAGGAGGTGCAAGATGGAAGACAGGTAATGCCACATGATAGAACATAGATTAATATAAATGGGTTAGTTTAAGTTATAAGAGCTAGTTATGAACAAGCCTAAGTATAGGCTCAGCATTCATAATTATTAATAAGTCTCCATGTCATTATTTGGGTGCTGGCTTGTGAGATAGACAAAGACTGATTACAAGAATCTCCTCTCAGAGGGCCCATATCAATAAACTCATCCAGATGCAGTTTTATGTTCCTTCCACCATTATCCTACATTACTAAAATCAATTCCCACACATAATCCCCAGACTTCTGCTTGCATGAATTAGAAACTCATTAAGCTCTTTAGTAGTGTAGTGCACCTCCTCATGGACTATACTTTCTATTTCCCCTCTAGGAACCTGCTTAGTCTTAAGTCTAGTTACAAGGCTAGACATATCTATGGATGGGCCCTGAGGAATATCAGTATTGTCTTCCTGACATCTTCAGAGAAGGTCACTGCTGGTTTAGCACACAATGGAGGATTAATTTCTTCAGTCAAAGGTGAGAGGGCAGCCAAGCATGGTGGTACAAGCTTTTAATTCCAGCACTGGGAGGTAGAGGCAGGCAGATCTCTATGAGTCTGAGATACACCAGGCCTACAGGGTAAGTTTCATGACACTGTGGGCTATTACACAGAGAAACCCTGACTTGAAAAAACAAGACTTGTAACTGGTCAATCTGCAGAGACTA